TGCCCCAGGTTCCCAGCCAGCCCCACACCTTGCCCCAGGGGCCAGTGGAACAGGCTGTGCAGCCCAGACAGTGCGAGCATCTGTGAGGGCCCCAGGGCAGCTGAGGGGCTGCCCAGCCTCTCACAACACCTGTGGCGCAGGGAAGTCCCTCAAAGTCCCTGCTGGACATTTTCCCACCAAAAGCACTGCCCACTGACAGCTCACTCTGGCCTCAGGTCCCCTTCCCTGACGACATTCGCTGACAAACCCCACAGCCCTGGCTGCCCTCTGGGGCTCTTGGCCATGTGAGCACAGCTCTTGAGCAAGCGGGTCAGGCATACCATCGTCCTCAAAGTACTATCCTTGCTTGCTGTGTGACTGCCCTGCACGATGGGGCTTTCAATTGATTGGTGTGCAGGTGGGAGGTAGGCCCTGAATGGAGCCGAAGCAGCTGGAGAGCAATACCGAAAGTACCAAGGCTGTTCAAGGACAAACCAGTCTGTCTTGCAAGAAATGTGGCCAGAGGCACCTTAGAGCAGCAGCGGTTCTCAACCTGGGGGTCGAACAACCCTTTCACAGGGGTCGCCCCACTCCTAACAGTCGCAGAATGACGGTGATGAAGTAGCAATAAAAATAATCTTATGGTTGGGGTCACCACCACACGAGGAACTGTGTGACAGGGTCGCGGCATGAGGAAGGTTGAGAACCACTGTCTGAGAGGCCAGGATGGGGAGACTTCTCACATCCTGTGCACATGCTGTGAGGGGAAAGCAGTCCCCGGAGAGGGGCATCACACTTGATAAAGTGGGGGCAGTGAAGGAGAGGGACATCACGCTTGATAAAGTGGGGGCAATGAAGGAGAGGGACGTCACGCTTGATAAAGTGGGGGCAATGAAGGAGAGGGACATCATGCTTGATAAAGTGGGGGCACTGAAAAAGAGGAAGCCCTCAAGAAGAAGGACGGACATGGTGGCTGCAGCCATGGGCTCAGGCCCCCCTAGGGACAACTGTGAGGCCGGCACAGGACGGACGGTGTTTCCTTCTGCTGTGCATCCAGGGCGCTACGGGTCAATGCCAACTCATGGCGCCTAACAACCAAAGCAACGGCAGGCAGGTGCCCACAGCGCACTCAGTCAGGAAGTCCACTGAGCAGGACATGGCGGCCAGCAGGAGGCAGGACGACGACGACTCAGGGACAACATGAACCGCTCATATGGCTCAGAACAGGTCTAACGAGGGAAATCTTATCTCTGTAGATAGAGACGTGATGAGGGACAAGGGCAGGGCAGAGGGGCAGCCCAAGCAAGGAGGAGAGGCGGTCACCCCGCCCCTGCTGGAGCCTGGTCTTGGCTCACTGGAAAGCACCTTGCGTGTCCGTTCGGAGCCACCGCAGCCTGAGGTGCTGGGCCTTCCACAGGTGACTGCCACCGTGGACTTGGAGCTCTACTGGTTAATGAGTAATCGGGCGAGCCATGGCAGCTAGGACTCACACTCAGGGCGAGCCACACCGACCCCACAGCAGCAGCCACAAATGAGCCCTGGTGGCTCCTCGGCTAAGCACTCGGCTGCTACGGGAGAGGTCGGCTCTGTGAAGTGGGCTCCCCTGAGGAATTGTCACCAGGAAAACCCTACGGACAGTCCTGCTGTCCTAGGGGCTGCTGTGTGGCCAAATGGAGTCAGTGGCACACAGCAACGCAGCAGCAGCAAGCAGACTGAAGTGAGTGGCCTTAGAAGACACACGACCAGCTGCTCCTGAGAATCGAGGATGGGGACTGGCTCACCTACTTGGACACAAGATCAGGAAAGACAGGCAGGTGCTAGAAGAGAAAACTAAACGGGGTCGAGGCCGACTCACAGCGACCCTGTGGGAAACTGCCCCTGTGGGTTTCTGAGGCTGGAACTCTTGGCAGGAGTAGAAAGCTGTGTCTTTCTCAAGAAGCAGCCAACACCTTTGACCTGCTGACCTGTGGCTCTCAAATGTAGCACATGACCCCCTGTGCACCAGGGCTCCTCCGAAGAGGTGCAGGTGGGCGAAAATGCAGACACCACGGGCACAGCAGGGCTCACACTCCACCATCACCCACTGACGGCACGGGGAAATCACGAACTGAGGGCATGCCCGCAGTAATCGGGGTGAAGGGGAGGCCAGCGCATGGCACAGATGGAGAAGGAAGCCATGACTGAGAGGAGGCCTAGCGTTACGGGCACAGAAGCAGCTACTATCAACGAGCATGTGATGAGATGCGCTCCCTCAAGCTGTACTGGAGGGACAGGGCCAAGCCCCCTTGGAGAGCCCACAGGGTCGATATTCACCCCCATGGCTTAGCAGCTACAGAATCCGAGAGCTGCCTTAAGCCCCCTGACTGCAGCGGTCCCTTCCCAAAACTGTGGGCACCGACCCTGGGCTGTGGTGAGGACAAGCCATGGTGGCGTGCACAAGAGCTGTGGCTCCAGAGCCTCTGGCACAGGGCTAGCTACCAGAACCTCCTTAACCCAGGAGAAGCTCTGATACCACCGGAGCAGCAGCAGAACTGAGAGCCAAGGCATGAGCCAAAGCAGCAGACTGCCCAGCGCACAGGGCAAGGCCCAGCTGAGTACTTCCCGGCAGGAGGCCGCCTGGGAGTGCAGGGCTTCCAGGCACTTAACTAGGGGAGCTGGGTTTGCTGACCCACTGAGCTAGAACTGAGTGCCTTTGGGCTGAGGCTGAAGGTGGTAGGACACCTGCCCTGGGCGTTTACAGGCAGTTGTGAAGGAGCCTGTAACACTGCGAGTACAGGCCTGAGGCCAGGGGAGAAGCCAGAGGAGCCTGCCTGCAGGGGGGCAGAGAGGAAACTGTCCTGGCCCAGCGACTGTCTCCTGAGCACTTCTCATTGGGATTGTAACCTGTTAGCGTCCCTAGTAAGCCCCATACCCGTGAGCGTGTCTGTGAGCTGGGGTGGCTACTGCAGTGAATTCCGGGATGCAGCTGAGAAGCAGCGTGCATGGTTGGACCAGGTTGGAGGATAGGGGGAGGGGGGGCCCATGTCTGACCTCAGCCTCCTGGAAACCTGCCTCGGGCCCTGCTGCGTGGCGTTGCTCTGAAGGAGCACGGTGCGGCTTTCTGCCCTGTAGACTGACGTCAGAGACCCACCAGGCAGGGCTGCCGTTGAGTGGCAGTGGGTGTGGCTGGAGGAGGTCTGACGTGGCACCCTGTCATTTCTGTCTTTTTTGACAGACGCCAATAGAATCTTTAAATATAATCAGAACATCAGTCACTTGCTTTTCCTTAACAGCTGCCTTCATGGACCCTAGAGAAAGAAGAAGGCGGGCACAGTCTGGCCCCATGCGGCCGCCTGCCTGGTGTCCCGCTGCACCTTCTCACTGACGGAGCTCTGCGCCCCATGGGGCACCCCAGGCCGCCAGTGCCAGGACTCGGCTGAGAAAGCCTTTGGAACCCCTGCCTACAGCCGCCCACCTACTCCCCACCGCGCCCATCTAAACAACACTTCTGTTGCCACAGGTTGGAGTCGAGAGTCAGAGTCGGGCTAACAACGCTGGCAAACACAGGCGCTCACGTGGCTCTGGCTCTGCTCCCCCCCACCCCCACCCCAAGCAGCTCGACCTCCGGCAGCACAGCCGTGCCTACAGACACACGCCTGACACTTGCTTGGGCATCCTGGCTTCAACCCTGCCTAGTGCAGCTAAGAGTCAGAATGAGTGCCACCAAGGCACACCTTCCACTCCCAAGCCCGCTGTGCTGGGAGCAGACAGCGGGTCAGGACCACCCTTACTAAGAAGCACGCTCCTCAGTGGAATCGCTGCTCCCCAAGGCCTCTCCGAGACTGTGCATCACACATGCAAGTGCAGCCACACCAAGGCTGCCGGTGCGACAAGAAGGCGAGAGCATGACGACAGGGGACACTCGTGGCCCCGACAGTGCCGGCCTCCAGGAAGGGACGACGAGGACAAGCCAGACATACTGGAGCACAGGAAGGACCCAACCCTCCATTTTGTGAACAAGCATAAACCTGACACCCAAACCAGGCCGATCCCCAGCCCACAAAAACCCACGCCACCAAGTTGAGTCTGACTCCCAGGCCGCTACACAGGTGGCGAGGCTCTACGTCTTCACAGGAGCAGACAGCCTCCCCCCTTCCTCCCCTGGGTCAGCCATGGGGGTGGGGGGTCGGGGAATGGTTGGCCCGCTGACTGTCCGTGAGCCGCCCACCGCTTGCCCCACAGCAGCCCCAGGTTCCTTTACTCCAAGCACAGGCGTCGCCAAGAAGAAAAACTGGACCACCCTCTCGTGAACACAGAGGCAGGCATGCTTAGCAAAGCCCTCACCAGCCCAGCCCAGCCCACGGCATCCCACACACAGCACACCACCGCCACGTGGGATTCCCACCAGTTGACCGTCAAGAGGACGGGTCAACGTTGGGAACGTCAGCAAAACCCACCACCAAGCAAAAGAACGGCTCCATGCTACAGATCAGCACAGAAAGGGCTGCGCAGAATCCAACACTCCTTCCTGATAACACCACTCACAAGGACTGCGGATTCCAAGGGAAATTAAACTCCTCAAACACAATCAAGGGCATGTATCTAAAACCAAGGAGCCCTGGTTTACCACTGGGCTGCTCACCACAAGGTCGGCAGTTCGACGGTTTTCTACTCCTGTAAAGAGTGACCGTCTCAGACACTCCCGGGGGCGGTTCTACCCTGTCCTGCAGCATTGCATGAGCCGGCTCCACCCGGTGGCAGTGGGCGCAGCAGGGTCTACAGAGTCAGCGTTACTCTCAGGGGGGCAAGGCTAACAGCATTCGACTTCCAGGCAGGTGTGACGCTGCTCATGAAGTGCTGT